AGCTATGAAACATCAAAATCGTTGGAGCGGTTAAATTTCATCTTATGATTGTATTAGGATATCTTAATAAGGGGAGATTTCGCCAAATTTCTCAAAATTCGCAAATTTGCAAATCTGGCTGCCAAATCTTATCAAATAATTAAATCTAGGCCCAAAATAATTTTTGAACACAATTTCAACGATATTTGATGAGTTTTGGTCAAAAAATTAAATATCTCAAAATTCCCATTAAATTCGCACATATTGGCCTCTAGCGCCAAAACTACCTTGGCGCCACCCCAATATTATTGCAGATTCTTACTCAGCTAAAAATTACGAAAATTTTAAGCTATGAAACATCAAAATCGTTGGAGCGGTTAAATTTCATCTTATGATTGTATTAGGATATCTTAATAAGGGGAGATTTCGCCAAATTTCTCAAAATTCGCAAATTTGCAAATCTGGCTGCCAAATCTTATCAAATAATTAAATCTAGGCCCAAAATAATTTTTGAACACAATTTCAACGATATTTGATGAGTTTTGGTCAAAAAATTAAATATCTCAAAATTCCCATTAAATTCGCACATATTGGCCTCTAGCGCCAAAACTACCTTGGCGCCACCCCAATATTATTGCAGATTCTTACTCAGCTAAAAATTACGAAAATTTTAAGCTATGAAACATCAAAATCGTTGGAGCGGTTAAATTTCATCTTATGATTGTATTAGGATATCTTAATAAGGGGAGATTTCGCCAAATTTCTCAAAATTCGCAAATTTGCAAATCTGGCTGCCAAATCTTATCAAATAATTAAATCTAGGCCCAAAATAATTTTTGAACACAATTTCAACGATATTTGATGAGTTTTGGTCAAAAAATTAAATATCTCAAAATTCCCATTAAATTCGCACATATTTGCCTCTAGCGCCAAAACTACCTTGGCGCCACCCCAATATTATTGCAGATTCTTACTCAGCTAAAAATTACGAAAATTTTAAGCTATGAAACATCAAAATCGTTGGAGCGGTTAAATTTCATCTTATGATTGTATTAGGATATCTTAATAAGGGGAGATTTCGCCAAATTTCTCAAAATTCGCAAATTTGCAAATCTGGCTGCCAAATCTTATCAAATAATTAAATCTAGGCCCAAAATAATTTTTGAACACAATTTCAACGATATTTGATGAGTTTTGGTCAAAAAATTAAATATCTCAAAATTCCCATTAAATTCGCACATATTGGCCTCTAGCGCCAAAACTACCTTGGCGCCACCCCAATATTATTGCAGATTCTTACTCAGCTAAAAATTACGAAAATTTTAAGCTATGAAACATCAAAATCGTTGGAGCGGTTAAATTTCATCTTATGATTGTATTAGGATATCTTAATAAGGGGAGATTTCGCCAAATTTCTCAAAATTCGCAAATTTGCAAATCTGGCTGCCAAATCTTATCAAATAATTAAATCTAGGCCCAAAATAATTTTTGAACACAATTTCAACGATATTTGATGAGTTTTGGTCAAAAAATTAAATATCTCAAAATTCCCATTAAATTCGCACATATTGGCCTCTAGCGCCAAAACTACCTTGGCGCCACCCCAATATTATTGCAGATTCTTACTCAGCTAAAAATTACGAAAATTTTAAGCTATGAAACATCAAAATCGTTGGAGCGGTTAAATTTCATCTTATGATTGTATATGTAACGCTCAGAACACGAACTCCCTCTAGTTTTATAGGTATGATTGCAAAGTAGTGCACAAAAATTAGGAGAAATTGACAAAAATAATTGGAAATTATGTGCGTGAATAAAAGTTGTGTTTATTTGTGGATTGGAAACAGTCAGTTGTCCGTACACGGGCTGATGATGAAGATAACCAGAGACCGGTTATGTATTTGCATATGTATGTTCTTATCAATCCCTACTCGTGTTGAGCCAAAACATGAGAAGGGATAGATAAAAACATATTTGACCGGACTATGATAACGGTAAAAAGGTCTCTGTTACATCCAGTTTGTGAAAAGCTTTTCATGCATATACATATTTACACTCAAAATAATTTTGAGACAAAATCGTTACATATATGTATGTATACATGTGTACATATTATTTATCATTTCTGTAAGAAATACATCGTTATGTCAAAAATTTTCAAGTTTTTCAAAAATCCTGTATAAACCTTTTGGAAATAACTTTTATTTAAGTATGTGTTCAAATGCTTGCATACATATCTATGTAAATATGTACATAGATACATTCATGCTTACTTACACTGCACAATTCCTTCTTGACTGCTTTTGTATGTACATACATAAATATGTACATCTACTTACATATATATGAAGTACATAATTGTAGACCTACATACATACATAAATGCCTAAAGCATAGTCTACTTTAGTCATTATTAAAATTAGTGGTTAGTATCATGAAAACAGGTGATAAATATCTTTTCGTCCTGTAATTATGTATGTGTATGTACTTACTTATATTTCACCCAGAAAGTTAATTCTTCATTGTGTAAAGCCCATCCTGTTTTTCATAGGGCTACACATTAAGGAAAACTTGCTTATAACTTTCGCCAACATTTGGATAAGTACATAAGTGCATGTGTCACTTCACTCTTCTTGTCCTTCTGTCGGATTTCCTGACTAGTTCAGATACATATCTCCGGACGAATGTATGTACATATTTACATACATATATACATATTCATTTACATGTACATATTTAAGCGTAAAATGCAGTCCAAAAATGCACACAAAATTATTTTTGTTTACACATTTCTTATTAAATTCTCATTCTCGCCGTGTCATTGTGTTCCCATACCGACCTATTTTTCCCATTGTACTTTTCACATAAGGACAGACTTCACCCGGTATGACGCAGCGGTTAGAATTGGCCAAGATATTTTTCCCTCCGAATTAAGTGGGATTAACCCGAAATACCTACAGCAACCTCCCTCAATCTTGACGCATATTAACGAAACCATCGTTAGCATGCACGAGAAGGTAAGTTTTGGCTTGAAAGAAATTCTGGCCACTTATCAGAGTGACATCACTTATCGAAGCGTATATTCGAAGCATAATATGTGCAATGTTGTACAAATATTTTCGTATTGGTTGCCTTCCGACGATGTCGCACTCCAAATTTTTATCGCCATCCTGCAAGTCCTCGATTCCTCGGTGAACCCGCATTTTATCTTTTTCGAAGATACCAACCTGGGCAAAAATTCGATTTTGAAATTTCCAACTGTTTCTCATATTGCTACCAACGCAGTGTTTGGAGTGTTTAACAGTGATACTGGGGAGACTAGTTTGATTCGATGGGTTAAGGGAGACCATGGAAGCTCAAATGATCTCGTTGGTCCCCGAATATCGGAATTTCCCTCTACTCAGGAACTTATCATGTCCTGGAAACAATTAAATTCAGATCTTGCAGAGACAAAGGTTTTCATGATGTACATGTACACATGGCATAAAGAAGAATACTGCTCATTTTACACGCCTAGAGACCGAGTAGCAAGAATTCACCGATTTTTTGATAACGACTGCGTCAAATCGTCCTTCCTTTATCGTAAGAATGTTTCGCTTACCCCTAAACCTGAGTTTGCTCCGGACTCTGTAAGCTTCATCAGCTCGGAAACAATGACTTTTTCAGAAATTATCAAGTTTCTCGTCGGATCCAGAAAATCCTTCTCTTTCGACTGGATCAATTACGGCGTGCGAATGGAAACTTACATGTTTTCCGTCTTTCTCGAAGCCAAAGAAATCGTTGCAAGGGCGAACTTGGGCGCGATCCTGTTGCCTTTCGACATTGGAATATGGATCCTCATTCTCGCGATTGGATCAAGTTTGGCTCTTCTACTGTTCCACGTGTCAGGGAAAAGGACGCGATCGTTGCTCTGGTTGTTGGGAAATTTCCTCGATCAGTCGGACCTATTGTGGTCAAAAATCAAATTCCCGAGAATCTGGAACATCTGCTTTCCCGCAATCTCAGGATGGACTATGATTTCCCTCTTTCTCGGTTTCGCCTACAAGGGGGCGCTCTTCTCGTGCATGACATCCACCCCAAGACCGGACGTTCCCAAATATCTGAATGATTTGTTACAAAGCGAAATTCCCTTGATTACTACGACTTACTTCACCTCGATTGCTAGCAAAGTTCCCATGTCGCCACTGGAAATATTGTGTCGCGACCTGCTTGAGATGCTCGACCCCGCTGAAGGACTCCACACCATCGCCGTTGCTCTCCTCAGCCGCACCATTTTTGTCCCCTCGTTTCATAAGGGGGTCGAAATAGCGGAAAATATTTCTCGCTCAGTGCAAGTTGAGACTTGTGCGGACCCGCACGATTCGAATTGTTCTAGTTGCGAGGGGAGTACCGAGGTTGGAAATAAATTTGCCGTGATAAGTGTGAAAGAAGATATCGCTGCGTTTTCAAACTATTTGAACTTTTTTGGGGCAAAGCTCATCCAAGTGGAAAACGACAGTCCGAACCCGGTAACTTATAAGGTGCCTTGGATCGCGTATTCTAATGGGGTGTATGACATACTTTCCCGCCATTTAGGGGCACTAGTAGAATCAGGGATACATTCCTGGTGGAGGAGAAATTCACACGTGGCGGGACAAGTAAGGCTTTTGGTGCAGAATAAGTTTAAAAGTACGGAAAACGACGAGTTGGGTAGTATTCCAGGGTTAGTGCAACAACTTTGGGTTAGCGGTAGGGTGGGAAATATGAATATGTTTGGGAGTAAGGTGGGCCAGGGGGGAATTGAGATTGGCATGTTTTTAGCACCGTTTATTATTTTGTCGGTTGCCTTGGGGTTTGCGTGGGTCGTGTTTTTGTCCGAATATGCGATTCACAAGGTGATTATTGTGTTAAATAGGGAAATTTATGGTTTCATGAAATCAGTAATTAAATTTGCTGTAAAACTTTATTTGACAGAATTTTGAAATTAATTACAAATTCTGTAATGTATATTCATATTTTAGAAATTGTAATTAGTAATTGTGACCTTAAAATTATTATCGTTTCTCTTCAAGAAGTTAAAACTAACGATAAGCAACACTTTAATTCTCCGACTTCCACTTTCCTCCATACTCCTTCAAGTTCAAACTCGCCCAAAAGGCAGAATTTGTTTCCCAAGAATCCGGAATTGGTTCTAATTTAGGAGGATTTTCAATATGTAGTACCTTTCTTCGGTTGGGATCATCTTTACGAAATGCTGTCCATTCGCCCCAAGGACCATCCGGTTTACTGATTAAATACATACAATTAAAAGTACACTAATTGAAACTAGTGTGCAAATATGAGACCAAAATTATGTACCCAGTATCTGCAAACTTGGCCCATGTTGCGACAAACTCGTGAGAAAATGCTTCATCCTCGTGGCCATGTCCAATTGGTTGGAAAAATGCAGCAAATAATTCCTTCATTTGAAACTGATACGAGAGTTCGTCCGCATGAGATGGTAAACGTCTTGTTTGTCCATCTGCAAAAATTTTGTGACAATCTGCATTCTGCATAATAAATCGCAAACTTTCCATTGTTAAAACTACATATTTTTAGCCACGAATTCAAACCTGCTAAATGAATATAGAGACGTAATAATGACCGCAGAATGATAGATAAATTTGAATCTCGTAAAATTATGACACTTAAGTGTTTCGTTTCTTGCGTGTTTGCTACACTTTTTACACTGCAAGGCAATAAACGCAAAGAAATTCAAAGTGCAAGAAACTGCGAGAAAGTCCGAGAAATATACGTCATGTGCCATCTAGCACGTGCCCTATTAGGAAGTAGTTTCTTGTGCCTTGTATTTCTTGCAGGTCACAATAGCTACAAAAAACACTTTCTTGTGGCTATTTCTTTCAACTTGGAGGTGGTTACTTGCAGCCGAAGCACTACTTACATTACTTACATATACTATGCAGGACACCCTCCGGTAACAAATCGTTACCAATGCGGTATGTACATAGATCTCCATTGTTCGTAATGCATGTATATTTTGCACATTAACCCACCTTTAAAAGTTGGCAAAAACATGGCCATCCTTGGATCTTTATGCTTCACGATGGGAATCATATGCGTAAAATTGTACAAATAAACAGGCACGTGTTTCGAGTACAGTTCCGCAAAGATGCGAAACGGGTGAATCAAATGGCGATCCGATCCTAATTGTTCGTACTGCATCATCGTCGTTTTATTTATTTCGACATTACTTCCCCCCAGGAAATGGGCTCTGGCCGCTTGATTCGCTAGGGCGGGATCTTCCGCAGATTTAGTAAGGAAGAGCATATTCGGACCAACCCGGCCCCACTGATGGTTCACCTGCTTTCTGAGGTGGTCATGTTTCGTAGTGTAGATCGCCCCCGAATAAGTTTCAAACGCAGCGAGGCCCAAAATCATGGGAACTTTGGAAAAATTTCCGCGACGTGCGATCTCGTAGGGATCCTCGGATAGGAAAACGTCCTCAGTAGAGTTATCGGATGGTAGATAAGTTTCGTAGGAGGGACCCATGTAAAGCCCGGATTCGTCAAAGCCCTAAAATAATGGAGGGAGTTTAAGTAAAATTTAAATATCCCGCTATTTAAGTTTAGTAAAGACGGGATTAGGGTAAGTTAATCCCATCTGAGGGAGTGTGAAATACAGCGCCAAATTCAAATAGTAACTCACCAGTTCGTTAACCATTCTTGCATGCGGTCCAAAAACGGAGGGATCCAACCTCTGCAAGCATTCGACCAAGTATTCCATGTTGCTTGACGGACAGTCGACCTCCTTGGCCAACTTGACGGCCAGATCACGACCGTCGACGCCATGATAGAAAAATGGCATCCCGGCCGTGCCACTTTGCATGATGACGCGATGAAATAAACCGTCCGCCATGGGTGACAAAGTCAAAAGAGAGGCGGACACTGCACCCGCACTTTCACCAAAAATCGTCACTTTGTCCTTGTCGCCGGAAAAGTGGAAGATATTGTCGCGTATCCAGCGAAGCGCGAGGACTTGGTCTTTCATTCCTGGCATTACATAAAAACGAGGTAAGTTGAGACTACTGTTGTAGGAGTAAAATTTAATTCCGTAGACATACGCATTTATGATAATCACATTAATAATGTACAAAATTATTACGATAAAAACTGTAAGCATTTTCATACCTTGGTTTCCTCGAGCAGAAGCGACACCCGCGTTCAGAAAGCCTGTTCACATATGAATTGAAAAGTTGAAATGTTTTATTAACGATTATTTACTCATAAATTCTTAGCTTTTAGTTTACTATTACGACTAAAATTTAGTTTTTAGAAAAATCTAAAGGTTTTTAAAGGAAAAATATTTAAAGATCACCAAATCCGAGGTTTTCGAAATTATGGAGACTTGTAATTTTAAGAGACTAAATTAAATGGATACTTGCACTTTATGACTAACGGGTCTCACCAAATGCACCCAACCGATAATTGATGATGACCAAGACGACATCTTCATCCATAAAATAGGCCCCTCCAAACCCATTTTTTGACCCTTCAACAAACCCCCCGCCATACAGCCAGACCATGACGGGGAGCAGTTTCTCATCTTGTGATGACTCGTTGGACCTCAACTTTTTCATAAACACGGTAATTATAAAATCTGTCTATTTCGGCTATGCAAAATTTTAAAAATACCTGTGGCGAATACACGTCCAACAATAAGCAATCCTCCGAACCGGTCACTTTACCAAAGAAAAGTCCCGAATTAACGCATGAAGGTCCTGGTTTATTCGCGATTCGAATACCGCTCCAGCCATCGGCAGGTTCAGAAATCTGCCAATTTTATGATTAAAAGTATGTCATAATCGAGATAAATACAAATCTCAACTATTTACATAATCAACGTAATTTCAAAAATAGAGGCATATGTTTCTGTTTATTGGCATACTCACGTCAACGCCGTATATCCCATCGCAACTAGCTTAATGGTAAACAGCTTAGGAAATATGAGCAATGTTTTTAGAGCATGACCATTTTCTAAATAAATTTACGCACAAAGTTTTCTCAACAAATTTTGCGAACGCAAATTTCGCAAAACTTGACAAGTTATATATTCTCAGTTTGAAAGATCCTATGCTCAAGTTTGTCGTACATATGTATGTATGTAATTCACCCATTAGTTTTTACATAACGTGTAATTGGACTTATCACATGCTTCTGCATGAACAAAGTGTTTGGCAAACTTTATCTTTTAGAGGTCAATTATTTTTTCGCCAAATTAGAAATTTACATGGACAATTCCTACTACATTTCTAACAACAATTAACTTACCAAACATTCATTTTTACTGATTTTGATTTTAAGTTCATGCAAACATGGAAAATACGTTGTTTTTAGAATCGATATAAAAATACCGTCTTTTAGTCACCTACTTCAAACCGTTTCTTCACTTTCCCAAAGGGCACGCCATAAAAGGCGTTGTAACTTCGCCCACCCCGACTCGTTGCGGGCACGCCTTGCAGAACGCCTTGACCCAAAGTGACCGTCGGAGGATGGTGGTGATGATTCCCACCCACTGTGAGAATTACGCCAAATAATAATATGGCATAAACGTATGAACTAGTTTTAAAACCGGAATTCCACATTGTGCCCGTCAGAGTTACGGAGTGGACTGAACGGAATGTTATGTATTTGCCTCACTAAGAAAAATGGAACACAGAAATTTAAACACCTAAAATTTCAATTGGAATGACATCTCTGCGTAAAGGTTAAGTTAACCCGTTGTAAAATTATAAAGTATTTATAGTATATATATAAAGAAGGATAATGTTTGCTTTAACAACACTGTATTCATGACAGTCTTTAAGTGACAATAAATTACTTGTGACTAAATATTCATGGGGAAAGAATTGGATCAATTTATTTCTGTTTAAATTAAATCAATTAAGCCCAATTAATGATAAGTTAATAAATTATGTGCAAACTGGCATCGTGAAATGAATACCAAGTGTGTACGAGTGTTTGACAAAGAAATTTTGTTGACGTCATTGAAATGCAGCAGTTTATTTTAATCCGAAGAAAAGACTTGCTCTGTCGCGCATCTGCATACATACATACATATTTATATATATTTATTTATGTATTGTGCTCATTTACCAATATTAAAATGAATTATTTATGTAAAAATATTTATTGAGAAAATTAGATTTACTTCAAAGCAGTCGGTTTCAAATTTATTATAAACTATGTACAATAAATGTATGTATGTATATCATATTTAAATATTTTTTTAAACACCCTGTATATCATTCTTATTAATTATCCGTAATTTTGTGTATGTACATGTGGAATATTCATAGTCAGGAATCCTGACTCAGTCGATAATTGAGTCAGGATGAATATCATCAAGTTGAGCAATGGAGTATCTACAGTCCACCGAATTTCTTACGCATGCATGTATGGGTTATGCATATATATATATGTACATATTATAATTTAGTTAACATATCCTGACTATAAATATTTACAAATTTTACAATCAATTTGCATGTACGTAAGAATTTATTTCTAACGTCTTCCCTTCCTGGATAGAATAAAACTTCAGAAACTCTCTTCGGGGTAATGTGTTTGTTAATCCCCGCCAAATTTTTGGCGGGGATTCTACTTTCTTCTAATCATCGCACGTTTCACTCAATTTTACTAATTTGTCTAGAAAATGATCATTTGTGCCTTCTCCGCTCGATGAATACTACGACGGCGAGGGAGAACAAGCCCCACGCAGCAGCACTGAGAAAGCCTCTCGCCACGTTGAAGTTGTCCAATCCCCACCCTCTCGAAGTTATGGAGCGGAGTGCCTCCGACGCAAAACTGGAGGGGAGCAGGTTGCAAAAAAATTGGCGATAATACCATGGCGCCCAGTCCAGGGGTAAGAGACTTCCTGAAATTTACATAAATTGTAAAGGGTGCACAAAAAATTTAAAAATTATGACGTGTGCAAAGTCAGGCGAGCATTGAAGTAAGGGTAATTTTACAGATGAAATATTTGGTTGGACTGTCGCAGTCAGGGAGTATTACCGGGGTGTTTACCAAATCTAATTGGATTTTCGATTGATTTTTATTGATCAATAGACAAAAACTGGGCATGTTTCTCCCATTGGTTTGTACACATAATTTGTTTCGCAAGGGGTCAAACTGAGCAGAAAGTCTAATAATTTTTTGCATATTTCTTATAAATTCAGAGCTACCAACCTGACGAGTACGCCTGAATTACATTGACGAACACCATGATTATAATGACTTCAAGCTCTCTATCCCGCAGCGAACAAATCATGCACCCTGCAACAAAAGAATAATATATTAGGACGCGCCAAATTTAAACTTTCTTCGAATCACCTAACCTATCGCAACCCCTGACATGGAAGTCACAAATATCAGGCTGAGCGCCACTATCCAGGATCCTCTAATCTCAACGTTGTAAAAACCGAATAACAGGGTAAGAAAGATGGTCATCTGTATCACCGTTTTGATCGAGTCGGTCACCACACTGGCCGCAATGCGGTGTCGAAGGGACGCTCCGGCCGCGTAGTCGCGATCCTCAAGCCCCGCCGTTCTATCCAGAATCCAAAGTACACCGGTCGCCTGGGACATCATGTACAGCATGCTGTCAAAAAATGAGTCGATATTATTTGCAAAAAAATTATTGCAATTAATTTAGGCAAACTTACAGCATTATAATTCCAGGTTGCGTAAATGCTAGGAAACTTTGGATCCCAATGCCTCCATAGATTGCGTTGTACTGTAAAATTCAAATTTAGTACTTAATTTTAATTTCGTGTTTAATGAAAAGTAAAGTTAAAATAAATAGCTTTAAATTTTATTTACTTGAAGCGGGGGTCGGACCGCGGCAGGACTTGAGGAACAAGCCGTAGCTATGTTGGCGATAAAGTTGATATATTTGGTCAAGATGGTCACCTTCATCCAGGATGAAGAGATTGAATCTTGAAAATGAAATATTTTATAAAGTTTTAAAATAATTGTGCTTGTAGGAAAATGAGTATTTGGGGTCATCCAAAAAAGTAAGGAGTTAAATACTTTTGCTAGAAAACTTTCATACTTGTTTAAGCATTTAATCGCATGATGAGACAACCAAATAGATCTACCAATGGAACCTTTTTCAAGTTACACCTGGTAGGTGTGTAGATATTATCTAGCGACTTAAACAAAAAAATCAAGCACAGAATTAAGAATTCCATGGCACTTATTTCTCTGTTGAATGACCCCTTTGAAGAAAAATATTGGGGTTCAATCTCGCTTTTTCCTCCACTGGTCGAACACCAGGCCTTTGACCCCAATATTTTTCCTCAAAGGGGCCATTCAACGGAACGATAAGTTCCACATGATAACTAATTTTTTTGCTTGATTTATGTATGTATTAATATGCATAACTCGCTACACAATCCGGGTGTATTTGTAGCGTGAAAAAAGATTCCATTGTATATAAATAAGTATTTATATCAAAGTTATATTTAAATACTTGATTCGTCCAGAGCGATCGTAATCGTGGAGCCGTCGATGGTCTCGTTGTCTGCAAAATTCCTGTGGACGATCCTGTCCTTCATGTGATGCCCAAAGTTTCCTGGGAAGGCGAGGAGGGCGACGGTTTTTCCTTTCTGGATGCTCTCATACCCTTCCTGATACGTCGTCGTTGTGATCTGAGTATTTAAAGTTAAAAATGTATGTAAGATTCAATATCCAAAATTCTCATAAATTCTTACCCATTCGAACTCATTGTTTTCAAAGGTTTCCAAGTAATTGCAAATCCCTGCGTTTTCCAAACATTTCGAAGAATTGTGCTTCGTCACGTTTTGTGCGCAGTGTTGAAAAAGTTGCGAGTTATTGGACAAATTGACATCGTTCGTGACTAATGAGACCGGCAGGATTCGAGGTTCTAGGCCAACAATGTTTTGAAACAGGATGAGGACAAAGACTGGTATGCAAAGTTCGCTAAAAATTAGCCTGTAATTAAATTCAAATTAAACTCTGTTACGTAAGTACATACATAAGAGCATGGACAATGCTTATGTATTATTTTTGATTTTTTTTTTGCTGAAGCGTGGTCAGTGACCACCACCACTCGGTGCCTCTGAATTGGACGTACAATGGAGGTCTCCCAGCGAATGCTCTCAGATTTTGACCAAACTAGTGTTAATCAATCGCAAATTTAAGTAATATGAAATTTGCAAAAGACAGTATCTGCCAATTTGGCAAAGACATTGGCACCCAAAGAGGAGAAAACCGGCTTTATAGTAGGCAAATTTTACGATTTCAAAATTAACTGCGCAGTTTCTCCTCTTCGGATGCTAATATCTTTGTCAAACCTGAGCATTTTCAGGTAGTATTTTTTGCAAATTTCATATTAATTAAATTTGCCATCGATTGACACTAGTTTGGTCAAAATCTGAGAACATACGTTGGGAGATGTCCCTTATTAGTTAATAAGCCTCACCTCCAATCTCGTTTCCGCCTCCGCCAAGCTTTGACGACGAGGGCGTGGATGATGGAGGCGTGATTCGTCTCGACATTCATGGGTGATAAGACCACGTTATCTTGCAGGGTGATGGACAACCTGCGAAACGACTTGGCCTTGACGACGCCTTCATCCTGAAAAATCCAGTCGGGGGTGGTCGAATTTCGGGTGATGTCGGGTTGTGGCGTGGTCGAAATGGGGGCATGGTTCTCGTCCATGCGACAAAGCTGGAGAGCGACCTGCTCTAGAGAAGGGCAGTTGTAGAGGGTGAGGAGGGCAGACGGCGCGTCCTCGGCGAGAAGCTGGCCCCCACGCATGAAACCGACCTGGGGGAGCATTTGTGATTTTATAAAATGGCAAAAACTCATAAATTTATAAAAGTCTTTGATGAATATTTCACATTCAATGCTTTGAAATTTAAAATTTACAAAATTTGTAACCCTGCTTTATTGTGAAATAATAAAAATGTTCTTTAGCTAGGTAAATCGGGACGCTTTGTGTCCTTTTAAACTTTTCAAATCCATGAATAAATCGAAGCACGTTTTTCCGAGTTGTTCCACAAATTAAATAAGAAACATAATTAATTGATGGTTTAATTTAAGGGTTCACCTTATCACATCGATTGCATTCTTCGATATAATGGGTTGATATGACAATCGTGGTCCCACGCGTCCTCGAAATTTCGACCAAATGCTCCCAAATCCTGGAAAACATAAATATTTAAGAATTGCCAATCTAGCAACAGGCTTCACAAATATCTCAAATTTAGCATATGTATGTACGTAATTTACTAAGTTTGCAAGTTTTTTGCCATTTTTTCAAACTTGCCCAAATAAATACATAGTAAAAAATCATATTTGTATGTCGCAAGATTTACTAAATGAGTTCCGACTGGAAATAAGCCCTTATTTTTATCACGCCCAATGAATCACTAATCTTAGTAATATAATAGGTTTATCGAAAATACTTACCTTTGTCGTAATAAGGGATCCAGGCCTACCGTAGGTTCTAAAATTGGGTCATCATTAATTAACATCGTAATCTCAAGTCTAAGTTGGCTCAAATTATTACCGTCGAGTATGAGCAGAGCAGGATTGTGGATCATGACCACGGCCAAGGACACCCTCCGCTTTTGACCCCCACTAGAAATATTTGCAAGCAACTAGGTTAGTCTCGTAATGTGAGAAATACCATGACGGCCAAAAACTGGAGGAAAATCTATCACGGGCTTCAAGCTCGGCCATTTTCTTAATTTCCTACTCACCTTAAATGTTCAATGATCCTCGATGTGGGGGGAAGGTCGAGAAAGGTGGTGAGGAATTTGATCTTCGTTTCAATAGCTTCGTGCGACATGCCGTAAATCATCCCGAAATGGTGGAGTGCTTCGTGAATGGTATAAATGTTTAGGAGGGAGATTTCCTGGGGAACAATTTGTAACACAAATTTGAATATATCCACATAATTATTTACAATATCAACGCTCTAGTAATAAAATATCACCGACACTGGAGGAAATTCATTACTCTCGGTAAAAATTTGTCACTGTGCGTATTACCATGCGGTGGAATTGCATAATATCTACAGCGGTAGTAATACTTTCACCCACTGGTCATCTAAAATTAATAGTTTCAATTCCTTGAAATTATCTGAGAGGTTATTTGGTTGCTAATTGTTAGTACAAAATAATCTGGCAAAAAACCTTTCAGATTTTTTTGTGACTATTAATATTGGGTGAACAGTACTCATTTATTTAGAGTGCATGAAGTTGACTGCATACAAAAGTTGATGACATTCGCAGAACGCCTCATTTGAATTATATCTCTACCTGAGGCATGTAACCACACAAGTGACCCAGATGACCTTTCCTTTGTTGAGCGAACACGATAAGATCACCACTGTCGAGTTTACGAAGGCCGACGACACATGAGAGCAGGGTCGTCTTGCTGAAATGTGAAATGAAATTATAAGCTGGGGTAAATTTTAACATTTTTTGAAGTCCGGGGTTTCAGAATTATCAATTTTCAAAAAATTCAAGTCTGCCATAGTTTTATATCTGATTTTTTTAAAATATGCACATAAGTAAATTGATCTCACCCGCAACCACTGGCTCCAAGGAGACCATAACTGAAAACAATAAAAAAATAGTGACATGTCGGATTTAATATTTTTGAAATGTGTAGGAAAAAATAATCAATTTTCACTTTTAAGTTTCAAAATCTATTTTCTGTAGTTGCTAATTATTAAGTAGCTTTATCTACTTTATGCACAAATCTTCCCTACCCGTCGTCTGTGCACAAGCAAAACACACAGAACTGATTCATAATCTGCTAATAATCTTTTATAATCTGCTTTCGAATATTGTCATCTAATTTTTGGGGCGCGGGGCTAGTACGAAGATGGATTTTTTCAATTCTGCTTTCACCATATGACACCATAAATTAATACTGATTCACGACCACACCCTCTTGCTAATCAAGGAATGTGGTTTGGGGCAAAATGAGATTATTGTTGAAATTGATGAAATTGAGGAGTTGATGAAAATTAAAAATTAATGGGTGATTAATGGGTAAATTAACCCCGCAGGTATGTTTGGGACAAAGTAGCACATTTATTACATCGAATCTAGTTATAAAGTATAGCACATTTAAATGTGCACGCAGCATATTCGGAGAGAAACGATTTAACAGAGTATTCACACGGTTTTTCAGTAATGAGATTTTATAGCTGGGTATAAAACTTTATTAGCGAAACCTTCGCATAAAACTTCTCACTAAAGCTACTTCCGTATGTACGTTTACCTTATTATGCTGACAATATATACGAATTTTGTCAATAAACATGAGACTAACTTAAATTAAATCCTAATATGCATTATTTCATAAAAATCACGGTTTTTTAATCATCCCAAAACTTACATCTCTCCCCGGGCCACACTCATGTTGAGATTATTAAGCACAAACTTCCCTTCTGCATATCCTTTCGTACCGTTTCGTACTGTTAGCGCCATTTTTATATTGTCTTTTTTCTCCTATTTAATCACCACGTGCAATAAATTTAATTATATACATATATCCACTCTAATTAAATGTATTGCACTATTGTCACGTACAGTAACACATATTGCCAAATTTACACACTTCCTTAAAAAGATTGCACACTACTTGTAATCGAGTCGACGTGTAAGTAAGCACTGTCCGACAAAAGGAAAAATAGCGTCGTTATTACCATCTACAGATACATGCATACTTGCACTGGTCATACGTACATTTGTGTATATAACGCATCATCGAAGAGGGAAAAGTTTGCCTGATTGCAATTACTTGACTTGATACACCTCTGACTAATTGGTACCTAGATAGATACCTGCACGACTGACTGGAATGGGACTCGTCTGGGAATCTGGCTTAGGATTAATTTGTTAGGTTAAATAAGTTGAGCTCTACATACTCGGCAAGAAAGACAGGGTCACTTCACCTCGAGTCGTAATTAGTGGTGGTGAAGGGTATTATTAAGTAGAGCGTCTTGAAATTGCAAAGTCAAATCATGTGTTACCGTACGTGTACAAAAGTCGATATTAAATCTACAAAATCTTGTTCAGATAAGGCCATGGAAAATTATTGAACTTGAAGGTTCATTTGGACGAAAATTTACATTTACTAACTTAATTAACTTATTCCCAGCAATGTAAATATGTACACATGTACGTAAGGCGTGTCTTTTTTAATTCTGGGTATTAAAAAGTGAATAAAACACAATTTTTTTTACTCATATAAATGCATGTAAAATTTGAAAGTTTTATAAAATAAATTTCAAAAATTTACAAAACAAATAAAAGTCCTTGATCTGAGGAACTTTAGAAAAATTTATGAGCCCATTTTCCTTAGATATGTTTGTAAGATTTTGTGAGTTTACAAAATTTATGGATTTTACAATATTACCAAGGTCTAGGTGAATTGTCTAAATTTGTTTTTATCTTCATTTATACTTGAAAAAATATGGTCCTTATTTTTTAGCTTTAAGTTCAAGGCCAAATGGCACAGAAGCAAGTTTTCACAAACCCCTTAGGTATGTAAATGCCTCGTGTTATATGCACATGTTGTACTTAGATTTAGATACATATGTAGTTGCATTATTTGCTTGGTTACGCAATTACTTACTCTAGTTTCTCACATGATCTATACCATTGTGTGTCCTGGGGTAATTAACAACCTGCATATTTGCATGAGGTGATTTAAGTTTTATGTTATATGTAATAAAATTACGCTTTTTTAATAACCTTAATTGGTGGGAGAGTTTGAGTGTGTTCTGTTCGGAAAAGTGTTGAATGGACATTGAACATGTGTGGATGGATAAAGTCATTTTTTCTTATGGTGGGAACCGATGTACATAGTTGGACCGGGGTGTCTGGCGCATGGCGGTGTGCAATTACATACATATATATGTACATGTACCGACATATATATGTACATATTCAGGATAAGCATCGCAAATTCTCTAATTATATCCTGGGCTAAAATATAAAAACTTCATGTAACACACCCGGCTACAATTATACAGAGACCCGGCTAAACTTTGTTTCTCCGGTAATTTGCAGCATTGCCCGTAAGTCAAGGTTAACAATTATGTGGATCATAATCGATTACTATTATAAACAGGAACTTTGAATGGACAGGTTAATCTCTCTGCTCAATTAGGACTAGATTTGATGTTATTAGCAAAGAAATTACTCAATTCAATGGTAGTCATGTTGTTTCTCGTTATACGTTTCTAGGAAAATTCGATAACAACCGGATGATCGTGTATTTATCTAGTAGACAATCATTTTTTAGAGAAATAATATAATCGCCAATAGGGAATTTTGACCAGACTATAATCATGGGTCGATTATAATCCACATAACTGTTAACCTATTTAGACTACCCCCATTTTGAGTTCAGGGATTATTCATTTTCACGGGTAGGAGCGCAGAGACTTCCTACAACGCAGATCATAATTCCGGCCCCGTTAATTTTCTAAATCTTGGTCTCCAGACCCGGCGATATGTAGAGACTCGGGTGTATGTAACTAGAATAGGTTATATGTAAATAGAGCATTTACGGCATACATAATATTTATTTCACCGTATTCTTTCTTTGCGTATGTATTAGTCTGGCCAAGCAAAGGTAGCAATACTTAATGTGTCGATTGACATAAAAACGTAACGAGGAAAGTGTTGTGCTAATCAATTAGTTGAAGTATGAGAAATCAGAATTGATCAGAGATTAAATTTACCCTCATGCATAATTCTCTCATGGAAATGTGTGCATACATACATTCTTTTAGAATAAGTTAATGACAACTAAGGTGCAAACTGCAAAAAAAGTATTTAAGACCCAAATTTATTCATGGTGAATAAAGAATAATGCGAAATTGACACTGTTTGACATGTGCTTTACACAGCTTCTGTATTTTTGCATACAAAATTAATTTTCGCATTCGATTTCTTACTATAATTAATACATAAGTTTACCAAAGTTTTCATGTCTATGCATATACTCATGAGGATTACATAAAACGACGTTTATATAATGTCTCTTGATTTATTGCCGTGCAACTGCACATAAAATTTTAACAACACTCGAGAAAGTTATGATTGGAAAATCCACTCGAGTTTTTCAGCAGTTCTAATAATTTTACTGTACAGATAAAGTTGTCAAATTAAAAAATTTGACAGGTTTGGTTAAAGGAAAGTTGTAAAATACGCAGATCGACATTTAGTGCGATTGGCAATTAACGATGATTAATTAGAACAGAATAACAAGCTTGATTGACACACATAAATAAATATTCCTATTTGTCAGAATTATGCAATGAAGATAATGCGTACATAAAAAGCTGCACAAATTGATATTTTCTCAAATGTGACAACCCGAACCCATTAACGTTAATCTTGTGTCGGTTCATTTGATCAGTTTTGACATAATTGTGCAAAAAGTGTGAATGGAAATCCCATCTTGTTCAGAATATACGTATTCCTAATGAAGAACACGTGACGTGAAATACACAAAGTTTACTTTAGGATTGGAAATTAGATACGTGCACGAAAAAACTTGAAAATCATGTCAAATCAGTTTTACAGGTGAATGGAACACATATTGTCGCGTATTTGCGTACAAAGATATATACATGGCGACCTGCATAAAGATTGTCACCGACTTGATAACAATACCCATAAGGCCTCCCAATACTTCATTTACAATACCGTCAGGATATATGTACATATATGTACTTAGCATACAAATAGAATTCGCACATATATATGTATGTGCGCATTTGATGACAGGGCATGGGAAATTTGTATGGTAAAATTTGGAAATGGCACTACCAGCCAATGCTCAGGTTTGGCGGAGATATTTGCATAAAAATAATATAAAACAAAGCACCTAAAAGTTGACAAATTTTGCACTTTCCAAATTTCCTGCGCATTTTATTCTATTTTTATGCAAATATCTCCTTCAATCCTGAGCATGGGCTGTTAGTGCTATTTGTAAATTGCATACTAATTGAATTTGTAATCGATTGACACAAGTTTAGTCCAAGTCTGTGAGCAAACGTTGGGAAATCACCTCCATTCTAAGGATAAGTACGATCTAATTCTATGAGTTGTTTTATGTGTGCCTTGTTGCACTCCTTACACGTTGTTGCACTCCTTGTTGCACTCCTTACAACACAATATGTTCAATATCGGTTGTATGAAACTGACCGCGTATTGTACACCAAGCGTCTCACGTAACTTGCATAGGTATATATGTACATATTTATATTTGTAGATGCATATTTACCTGTGTCCTCATGGTCTTGTAGGTGTAAAAGCAAAAGCATCATCGTAAATATTAATTCACAATGTATCTGATCAAAAAGTCTCGACATCCTTTACACATGGCCCCCAAAGAGTCACCCCAGTTCAGCGCTGGCATGCAGCATTTGTATGCATATGACGCATGTTTGAACTACTGGAAAGGCCTCCTTAATCAAGACCAGTTTTCAATTAGGTGCACATGCAGGGATTATTATATGTGAACATACATACATCTGTACATACACTTTCAGTAATAAAGTGGATTTGGGGGAATCCCCGAAATCCAGTCCTGTGCAATTAAAGCTTCCACGTTCATGCAAATCTTAATGGACCGTGTATCATGTCGATAAAAAAATAGTTAGTCGTGGGTCTCCTGGTGAGACGAGTTTGAATAAAAGTGAGATTGTCATTCATTCCTCATTTGAACCTAATGTAGAGTCAGATGTGTTTTTTACTCTATCATTTTGCAATAATTGTCGTTATACCACTAATGAAAAAATAATTAGAATATGTAAATTGAACTGGGTGGAATAAATTTGCATGCGATAAAATGTAACAAGTTTAATAATTCACTGGTTAAAAAGATCCCAATTACGGTAGCTATTTGAGGTATATGTTCATTTATTTATTGGGGTCTCTAAAGTCAATACATATACCTACATATGTATGTATATGCAGGGTTTAAACAATTGAAGTATGAAAAATTGAGTGCAATATATTTCGCTAAGTTTTGAGTTTTCGCAAATTTGCACCTCTGATTCACGCGAGTACAATTTATTTGCTCAGCATTGACTATTAATCTGGACGGATTTGATTCTCGCATAACATTCATCTCTCAATTTTAATTTAATAGTATGTACAAAGTGAAAATATTAGTCATAAAATTCGCATCTTGTTACTGCGACACGTTACAAATATTAATTACTAAATTGATGATTCCGGAAAGGAAATTTCTAAGAAATGTCCTATCTAAAAAATTTTGGCTTCCCTTTAATTAGTTTTAAATGAATTTTGTTGTGAATTTGTTTACAGTTTGATTTCAGCTTGCATGGGATTTGATAGCCAAGCCATTTGCGTACATATGTATATTTTCCACGAATTAAGTGCAATGTTTTTGCTCGTGTGTGCATATCTATCGTACATGAACCTAAATATGTAAATAAGCACAATGTGCTAATATATGTGTTTACGTACTTATTATGTATATTTGCACATTGGAAGGTTAAACGCAGTAGGGAAGTGGAAAGTTGTTTCTTTTACCAGGAAAGGTGTGCATGCAAATGTACATATGTACCTACAGACGAATCACGTTCTTAGGTATGCATGTACGTATGTATGCATCATGGATAATTCCATGATGCA